TTGTTCGGCGTTTGCGCCAGTGATCGGCCGCTACCTGCGTCATTCTGTTCTGATTGGCTCTCGTCTCTTCCACTTCTCCTTGAGACTTTTGTACGTGGCGTCCAACTCGATGTGACGGTTGATGCACAATTCATCCGAGTGCATGGCCTCAAGAAACTCTCGGCCTTTATTGAAGGGACAGGCACCAACAATCCGTGTTCTGTCCCAAGCAAACGTATGCCCTGTGTCCAGGGTATGCATAGCTACTTGAGACAGATGGTCTCGCCTCCTTACTTCAAGTTGGTGTTCGTGAATGCGTGTAGAGGCGGATTTTCCTGTTTGACCACAATAAACTGCATCCCAGGCCTCACATGGGATCTGGTAGACGACTTCCTTTCTATCCAAATAGCTGACCCTAAGGGTGTACCATTAGAGTACGTGGTGTAGTCGTTTGTCTGTGTGCCACCAGAATTTGATGCCTCTTTGGGTGCCTTTCTACGAGTTCAGACACGTCTTTGATGTAAGGGAGAGTTCGCCATGTATTTGGCTTGCTTACCTGACTGGAAGAGCTTTGTTCCGTTTCTTTTGACTCGTCCTGTCCCGTGCATCGGCGCACAAAATCCTTGGGCTACCTATTTCGGGAAAATAATTCACACAAGTAACTTAGTTCGGCTCGGTAGCCTTCCTCGTCTGAGCAGTGTGTTTTTTGCCCGATTAAGCAGACAGCTGATCGTACTCCGTTTGTGGGAAATGGGTTGGTTGCTCTCGTAGTGTAGAATGACTTTCGCATAGGTTTCTTTGCGGTACACCGATGTGCGCAATGTTCCATCGGTCTTCCGCTGCACGAGAACATCCAACATGTGAATTTTTTTCGACTTTTTTCTTGAGTGCGAATTTAATCCCTGTCATTGTTGAGTTGATAGTGTTATGGAGCGTTTCTAGTTGATCCTTTTTAACGATCGCAAATGTGTCGTCCGCGTATCGCAGCCACAATTTAGGCTCGAACTCGCGACCTGTTAGTTAGAAGTCCACGCCTCTAACCACTGGGCCACGAGCCCGTTGCCCTGTCGGTTTCGATCGGGAATATACAGTGGTAGGGGGGCGCTCACTGATCGTTCTTACCGAACTTAGTCGTTCCATTGTGCCCTACGGGCTCTCTCTCTCGACCCCAACTAGCGGCCGCATAGCGGCGCATGATATAGGCGGTATGTTATTACCGACAAAGACACGGGAGACTGGAATGGCTATTTCTGTCTTATTAGTCTTCGTCAGCCAGTCATACCTAACCCTAAAGTGTGGAGCACCCGAGGCTCGAACTCGCGACCTGTTAGTAAGAAGTCCAACGCGAGGTGGGACGACAGAGAATGCGGGTAGGTTAATCAGCCGATCATAATCCTGACCAGCAGCTGTGACCAGAAGCACAAATATCTACACAAACACTGCCTGTGCAGTTGGTCCACCACTGGGGTCTACCAGATGGGTCAAAAACATTTCATCGAACTAAAGTTCATCAGTTACTCGCTACCTGTCGTCCTCTGGCGTTGCATATCGAGTATCTATTCAATCGGAAATGGCTTTGGAGTCTGACGATTAGAAACTTTTCTTAAAACAGAAAAATATCTTTTCTCGAATATGGACTTTGAAGAGAACGTGATTTTCTGCCAAATGAGTACAAGAAGTAATATTCTTACGGAGGTTTTCTGTAAAATATTTTTGAATCTATAAAAACATAGAAAATCGAGAGAAGCAACTTCATCGTTCGTAGGTATGTGAATACATGGATAGATTCTACAAGAGTTCAAATATGCCGCCGCTGTGCACTTTCGCAAGAGAAAGCAACAACCCTGCAATGAGCGTCGCAAGACATTTCTCATTAGCATTACTAGCTGGGTCTTTGTTTTAATACTCTTTCATTCCCTGTTTGCACATCTATAATAAAGAATACCCTCCGAGATTTGGTGCAGATTCCGGAGACATCGTGAAACAGTCAGCGCGGTATTTGCAATGCGACAGCTCCAGAACTGCCATGAAATCATAGATCTTGCAAAATCTTTGGACACCGTGCACCAAAATGGACTCTCAAAGGGCATGGTGAATTTGGATGACCGAATGGTTATCGCCACTGCTCAGACAACTAGATGGCGGCGCGAAATAATCCTGGGATGGGTAAGTTTTTTGGCCAACAATGCATCCGTTCAACGGCGTTGACGATTTCTTTCATAATGTAAGCAAAGTTCAAGGTAGAGCCATTCTATGCTGAAAATTGCAAATTAGTCGCCTAACATCCGCCGTCTTTTGTGTTTGGATTAGAAGATGCCTCACTTAAGGCATTTTCTTCAAAAAGGAAAAATATTAGGGATATAATTATCAAGTAAACTGGGAATGGTCCGGAGCTCGTAAATATTTGAGCACAAAAAGACCGTCCGGAGAGGCTACTCACTGTCTCAAGCCGCTACTCACGCTGGAGAGAGGCCGCGAAGTCAAATTCGCGAGCACGCGGATAGTGGCACGTGCCAGCAATAAGACGGAGCCGCTGGAGGTCTGGATGCCTGACAACAGTTCGACCATCGTGACGGACGATGTCCACTGTGTGCTACACAGCAGGGTCAGAGCAAGGAAGATGACTTGCGCGTGAGTTAGTTTAATGATAGACGGCTTGCGCAGCATCTGTCGCACTCTCCTCTCTCCAATCTGGGCCTGATGTCATGATTAAGTCAAGAAGACCGGAGGCGGGGGAGAACCCAGATGGTTGGCACGGTAAAAGCCCACACTTAGGCGTCAGCCCACGCCCTAGTCCACAACAAACTTGACTAGGATTTTCAACAACCTCAAAGACGGGGGATGGCAAGTAACCCAGATCGCGCGGTGTTGGCCCACAACAAGACCTACCACCGCACGCCGAATGTCGGCATTTGTTTTGTGTGCGCACTCCCTATAACACCTCCCAGAATCTGATGTAGCCCCGTGTTGGTCCAGCGTATATACCGCGTTACCCGGTTTATGGACACTTACGTGACACCACCTCCATCAACAGTCACTGTGTGCTGGTCTGCGGGGACCCAGTCCAGTCACGGACACTACCTTCTTCACCCCACTCTCATGGTTTGACCACAAAACGGTTGATTTGTTATGGCACTCTCATAGTCTCTGAGGGTGGACTTATGTACGAGTCCGAAAGCTCAAGCTAATGCACCTCCTGTCCCAGTGATCGTGCGTGCAACTTCCCTTTATGTTACATACCTCTGTAAAAAATTTATTTTTTAATTCGTTTGTCCCGTTAACGAACAAATTGGTCCTTTTTCTGAATTTTCAGCAGTATTTCGTTTATTTTGCCGTAAGCTTTGTTGCTCCGTTATCGATTTTTTTATATGGCTGCAAAAACACGTGTTCGCGTGGAACTGCACGGGATTTCGATAGACATGCGTAGAGTACTTCGTTTGCAACCCTTGTAGACCTTGCAAATCCATGTGGACGCTCCCACAAACTTAACGAATGTCGATTAGGTAAGTCATCTGGTTTTTCTAATCATAGCCAAACGGCCAGGTACTTTTAAAGACTTCATGAGGTTACTTTGTTACTTGTTTCTTGAGCAACTTAGTCCACAGTTGAATAGATAATAGAGGTCTAATGACAGAGGGCGGAGAAGTGTTTTAATTCCAACCTTTCAGTTGCAAGCCCTGATAGCACTTATTCTTTCGCCGATTTTTGGTTCGACTCCTTAAAGTCTGGAAAACTCGCCAAGACACAAGCTTTACTACAACTGACAGAAACAATACGCTGGATTTGTTTTTTTTTTGAATGACAGTCGCCAAACTTACTTGGTTGATTCTGGTAGTCCGGTGCTGACAACGCGTGTGCAAAGTGGTCAGGCGTATGATATGAGCTTGTATGCACCGCTCATATTTCAATCCGGCTATCATTCAGAACTGATTTTCCGCGTGGTACAGTACCGTCCCAGAAGGCAATTACAATTTGGCCTGACAGAAAAGAGTTCTTACTACCGCTGCGAGTCAACGTTTCAGCCCATGAACTAACGACCGTAAACCGGTTACGAGGAGTGGTTAATGAACAGATCTTTCACCAATATTTATCTTCCCAAAACGTGGCTCTCAGAGCGTAAATTGTAGTTCCGGGTTGTGCAAATCAACGGTTTGGCGACAGGATAATTAAACTGCGTGTGATCCATTGCCTATTTACCATCCGCTATGTTTTAATGAGGGTGACGAAGTAGAAGTTGTGTCATTAAATGTCTTTCCACAGGTTTTGGCCATTATACTCTGACGCCACGTGCACCTAATCCTCATCGGCACAACGGCCAAACCCCAGTAATCGCCTGGACTGGCGGACGAAACCAAATAAGGAGTATCGTCACCGCTACACAGTCAGCAAACTTGTATAGGAGACCTACTTTACTTAAGGAAAGGAAAATAGCTACGCTATGACACACATGAACGGTGGCATTGTGCAAAGCCAATCACTGTGCATAATCCCATTTACTGTCGCGCTGATCTAGTTTTGTCATTCGAACATGGTGGGTAAAGGAGTTAATGGGGGGACACAGTTCCGACTAAGTCTGTTAAAATCCATTTCACATGCAAACCACCTCTGATCCCCGAAGCTCTGACAGTTACGCATTTCGCTTCTCATACCCCATGGATCGAGCAAACGTCGATAACATGTGCTTAATCTAGGTATCTACATGGGCAACCCTCATATGGTTAAGTATTCCGTTTGATAGTATGAAAAATCATCACAAGCCTGTGGTGTTTGTCCGTGTAAATAGTAGTTTATAGAAGAAGTTCAACGTCTTGACTGGCTATCTGGGAGATCAAGGCGATTCTGATGAGGTAATTTATAAACAGCAGCGTGTTTGGGAACTACCGGACGACAGTTATTAAAATATTTTTGGGGTTCACCTAAAGAGCTAAACGATTCTAATTGCTTACTCTAGATGGTAGTGAGAAGTCATCATGGATTGCCTATCAAGTGAGGACAAAAGACGACATGACTACTTCCTCAAAATGATTGAGGCTCGAAGCACAGAGTTCAGGAACACCCATCGTATTCTACTTATTGGGACGGGTGAGTCGGGAAAGTCAACATTTGTGAAGCAGCTGAAATTGTTGAGCTCACCCAAACAGACTTTTACAGAGGACTACCGAGTTCGGTTCATTCCAGAAATTCAACGAAACGTTTTACAGTCTTTGAGCAACATTGTCAACTTCATGATTCTGGAAGACATTCCATTTGGAAAAAATAAAAAGAAACTGGAGGCTGCGAAGAAGGTCATTATTAAAGCCTACGCAGAAGTCCACGTTAATCCGGACAATATTAACGACTACACCAATAATCCAGATACGGCGAAGAGGGAGGACTTCTACGACCAATGTGCCTTGCTTTGGGATGATGAGGCTGTTAAGGAAACTCAACTACGCGGAAACGAATTCCAACAAATCGATTGTGCCCAGTACTTTCTAGACAAACTGGGAACCATCAGAGCGACAGGATATATGCCTACAGACGAGGACATTCTCCAGTGCCGTACCAAGACCCTGGGGATCCACACCGAGTCCATTCTCTATAACAATGTACCCTTCGAGCTGGTCGACGTAGGAGGTCAACGAGAACAGAGGGCGAAGTGGATAGAAGCCATGACCGACGGTGTAACGGCAGTCATCTTCCTAACCGACGTATCCGCCTATGATAGGATGTTGGAGGAAGATAATACAGTAAACCGGCTGCGCGAATCCTATCATCTCTTTGGACAGGTGTGGACCAAGAGCCTCCTTAGGGAGAAATCCTTCATTCTCTTTCTTAACAAACAGGACAAACTCTCCGATAAAATTCGGTCGGACAGAAACCCTATCTCGGATTTTTTTCCCGAGTATGAGGAGCAAAAGTGCAACTTCACAGTAGAGCTACTGTCTGAACTCAAGGCCTTGAGAGAGAAGAAGGCCAAGAATGAAAATGAACTGTGGGACAAGCACTTTTCGTATTTTTTACCTCCAAAAGACGATGGCGCAAACTGGAAAGACAACGACGACGGCAAAACTACCATTGATACTCAAGTTATGGCTGAATATGGCCAAATACAAAGCATCATCTCAAAAACAGTGAATGAGGGCGTCCTCAACAATTGGGTTCTCACCGGTGAAGATCAGGATGCGGTGATCAAGAACCTACTGGAGAGGGACGATTTTCAGAACTTGAATGAAAGACTCTTTGCCGTGCCACTCTACCGCATAGTGTCTACTACACATTTTATCAAAATGCTTTTCCTTAACGAATGCGAGCAAAGCAAAACGCGGAGAATCTATCCTTACCCCACTACTGCCATCGACAAGCGTAACGTCGACCGCGTGTTCGAGTCCTGCAAGGAGATTCTCCAGGGCAAGGCGCTGACTGAAATAATGATTTGAACGACTGGATCATACCTATATATGTTGATTGATCTCCTCTTTTTACATCACAGTCAAGAAGGAGTACGGTAGCTCCCGTTAAATGATAGGATATCAGCAGTGGGTCGTGCCTAAAATTGATCGGAGGAAAATTATTGTACGTTTACTTGTTGTCCTTTAAATAAGTTTGCTCAGGCCAATTGAAATGGCCGACTAGGATAGTAAGTGGCAAGATGGCCCCCTCGCGACGCTTGATCAAGTAAGATCTTCATCGCTAATTAACCTTATTAATTAGCTTGGATAAGTTACAAATTTATTGGCAATGTGGGCTATTTATTAAGATTATGGTTGGGGTTGGACTGGGGAGGCCGTGCCGATAATGCTAAAGTTTAGTCTTTTCTGGTGTTTAACGAAGCCGAACCCGATAAATGCTTTGAGATTGGACCTTACTGCTGTAAGCTGACGAACAGATCGTGACTAATAATTACATGAATCTTGCCACCTGCGTCTAAGTAACACTTTACGCTATAATTTTTGGATTGGTTTTCTATGGTCTATAGGTGTGCTACTGGATTGCACACGCGATTTCCACTTTTAACAGTGGCTCACGGCCCACAGAATTACATCTGTGTCCTCATTAGTTCATTACATAAAGCGCTGTCCAGTTTCACTGGGACCTGAAAAAATCGGTAACTACAGGAAACCTTTGCATTTTCGCCAATTCTACTGTTGCCGTCCGCAAAACTCCGGGTTAAATCCATTTCTTCTTATTCATGATTCGTCAGGATTGCGGTATGTCAACCTAACTTGGCAGGCAAACCTAAGAAACAACTTCTGAGAGCAAAAAAAGAAGAGAGGTTGAATAATTCTCCTTAATTTATCCGTCAGCATCAGTCATTTTTTCGCAAAGTGCGGGCAGACCACAGCAAGAGGTTCGGAGTGTCCCTTCTGATAGGTCTGCATTTTTTAGCAGCGGCCCTTCAGGCTTACGGTCTTTCTCATACTTCAGGGACTCTCTCTCTTCGTTCGCAGGCAGTATATGCAGGGAAGCTCGCGACCGCTCAACTCATGCTTCGTGTTTTCAATGTCAGCTAGGAACTCGATTCCCGATGGATTATATTCGCGGATCAATAAGCCTGGCCTGTAGATAAGACCGGAAACAGAAACGAATAGGGAGCCAAATTTGCTTGCCATACACCTAGATACTCTTTTGAAAGGGATGTCACGCACGAAGACGAAACCTGTTCAAAATGTTTGGGACTCCTTTAGAAATTTCCGAGAATGGAGGAGTTAAAGGGTCTAAAAATGGGGGTATAGAAGTTAAGAAATCTTACTCGCCACCTACATAAGGAGAAGTCGTCGAAATCGGCAATTCAGACGACAAAAACATGCAAGCACGACTTCTTTGACCGTATCGAACGCTGAAAATGGAGACGGTCCATCCACGGGACTAGGTACAACCGGGAGCCAGTCTTTTGAGTGAAAAAGAAGAAATGCGAAAGAGACCTCAGATAACAAAGAAACGTCCCAGGACAACACCACGTATCTTTGTACTGTCCGGAAGACAAAGGTCATTAATATGAACGCAGACCAGCCAGAGGAAGATTACCAGGAGACCCTCGAAGGACCGACGAACACCCTCAGTTATGTCGAGCAACAGAGATATCGGAACGCCGTGTGGGCAGAAACCAAGCCATAGAATTCCATTGCAGACTTCAAATGAAACCAAGACTGGATTTTTCGACTAACAACACGGGAAAACGGAAGAAAGTATTATCAGCATGCATATGTGAGTTCAGCAACCCAATAGTTAGTTCATCCGAAGCTAGCAGAACCAGTGAACTGGAAACGAACTCTCGGTCAGTCGAGAAATGTGAAACAAGAACAGAAGCTAGATTCATTCGCAAGCAAAATGTTGTTATAAAAAGAGTCCCAGAATCAGCGTTAACGATTCCAAGGGACAGATTTAAGCACGACTTAGACCTCCAAGCGTATGCAGGAGCTTTGTTAAGAGACAGCGAGTCAATTAATATTCTCAAAGCCTGCAGAATTCGGAAGACTCAGCCAGCCTCCGGTTAAAGTTCTAGGCCACGATCTTTAAAAGTCATTTTGGGAACTGAAACACAGACACAGCTCCTGCTACAGAGAAAATTATCTCTGCGGGCCAGCATCCAGAAGTTTTTTAGCCGGATTACGGACGAAAAGAGCGAATTATTATGAGACAGCTGATAACGAAACTAGAAAAGCGGAGGATCAACGGCGAAACACCTAAAAATAAGGGACAAACGAATAATTTTAGTCAAAAAGCACTGTTGAAGGCTACCAAATGTATCAAATGAAATTTCGTGCTGTCAGCAAGAAATATCCGATATGGTACCGCGAAATTTTGAAACGATTTCATGAAAGATTAGTATCGAACAATTACCGGCATTTAACCTGTGCGTCGTCTATCGTCCTTCCAGGTAGAATGAAAACATCGGCATGGAAGTACTCGGTGCACTGGAGTTTTATGTGATCAGGAGAACTTACTAGTTCTGAGCGACTTTAACGCTTCAGGAATTACAGTAGGCAGGCTACCTCATGAAATGTCAGCCGAAATTTCGAAATGCGTTCCCGTTTCGAAGAAATTAATTAAATAGGGTTGTAGAACTCCTCATAATACAGCATCATTCTATAATACTTTAGTAACCTCGAGAAGCCGGCTTTCGAATGAGCATCTTTTCGACTGCATGCAAAAACTACTCTGTAAAAAATGGCTACTTAAGTAGCATAGATTTTACTCACTGATTTTCGATGCCCATAAATGTTCAATTATAATTCAAGGAAAACATGCATAAAAATATTCATTCTCTTACGTATTCGGTGGAAAATTACGTTTTCTTCCAATTTTATGCTCGAAAGAGTGGTACGATTCGGTTTTCAAAAACTTTTCCAATTCCCGAATAATTTTGAACGTGACCTGCCGTTACACCTGAATTCAGGGTTTCCAAACTACAACCCGTATATTTTCTGCGTGTGGGAAACCATGCATTTCTCTGCGCTATTAAGAGAAGACCATGTGGGGTTCATAAAATTTAGCAGTGGATTTGAGTCATATTGTTGACGTTACAAGCCACATTAGTAAATGCAGAGACATGACGTTTTATGAATGGCCATTTCACGGTATTAAAAAATCCCACAATTAGAAAATGCTTAAAACCTAATTATACGCTTTCTTTGAGTATAAAATTGGAAAAAGACACCATTTTCTACCGAATTAGCAAAACAATGAATATTTTTATGCATGTTTTCCATGAAACATAATTGAATTTTTAGAGGCATCGAAAATCAATGACAAAATGGTATGCTACTTAAGTAGTCATTCATTGCAGAATATAGTTCTTGTATGCAGTCGAAAAGGAGCTCCTTCGAAAGCCGGCACCCTGAGATAACTGGATTGCTATAGAATTATGATTTTTGATGATTAGTTTTACAACCCTACTTAACTAATCTTTTCGAAACGGGAACGCATTTCGACATTTCGCCTGACATTTCATGGGTTATCCCACCTACTGTAAGTGGAAAATTCCCGCGGCGAGCGCCACATCCACGTCCTTCAACTACAAGCTATTACAATGCTTTTTAGACTAACACCTCATTTAACATATAAAATTGGAAACAAGACCGAGAGAAGGACCGCGACCCAACTCTCTAGATCTCGTTTTCGGTAAAAGAAGTCACAAGGGAAGCGAATGCACAACTTTCACTCAGTTAAAGGTGATATATGGCTTTTGCCTGCGTATGTTCTCTCCTATCGAGTACACATCCACAAATTAAGACGCACGGAAATAGTTAGAATGGTGGTTTTAACGCAATGAGTACTGACATGGAGGAGCCCCGTTCAGTCAACATGGAAGATTCAGAAGACTTCAGGCTGCACTTTCGCGCGTTTATAGAATGTCTAGTTGGATCCCATTGTGAAATAAAAATAAAAAAACCATGTGCGCGACCGCCGTGGATCATACCGATGACAAAGAAGATCATGAAGAAGAAACTGAGGTTGTGGAAAACGTATTTGCATCTTCAAGCTCCCATAACATTCAGCGAATGTAAGAAACAGCGTTATGAATGCCGCAAGCTCGAACTTCTTTCGAGCGCCGACTGACAGCAGAATCCATTATATGTCCCAAGAAGTTTTATGGGCACATCCGCAGTAGGAGAAAGCATAGGGACGAGATTGCGTGTCTAAAGGATAACCTCGGAAACTCATTAGTTGAAGGATCGCAAAAAGTACAATTGTCCTGCCAATTTTTTCAGTCAGTTTTTACGGTGAGCTTCTCCGAAGATAATCAGGAGTTTGGGATAGGCCAAGAAAGTTGGGAGTTTCAAATGGGTCAAGATACTCCCGTCATCGAAATTGTTGCTTTTTCCGTCGAAGAAGTAAGACACGTCCCCAGTCCAATTAAGCTAGAGAAGTCCCCTGGACCCGACGGGATTCCTGGGCTGATACTTAAGGAGCTATCAACGGAGCTGGCAAAGCCTTTGTTAACTCTTTTTGAGCTGTCAATGCGAACGGGGAGGCGGCCTTCGCAATGGTAGAGAGCCGGTCTCGTTCCCTTACATAAGGGATTAGCAAGATGACAGCAAGCTGCTCCAGACCCACTATATTTACTTGCCTCTCACGCAAAAGGATGGAATTTCTAGTGAAGAGTGTTATGCAGCAATTTTGTGAAGAAAACTACACCTTACAGAATTTGCAGCACGACTCCCGGCGAGGATGTTCCTGCCTCTCAAATCTGCTAACTTGTCTGGAAGTCCGGTCCAGGGTCTTAGAAGAGGGCCTTGGGGTCGATGTCGTGCACATCGGTTTCCGCAAAGCCTTCGACATTGTCTCGCACCAACGCCATCTTCATAAATTGAGCCCCCTCGGCATCCGAGAAGATCTCAACCGGAAAAGGGCGTTTCTGGTCGCTCGGAAGCAGTTTGTCTGTATCGGAGATGATATGTCAGACATGGTGAACGCGACAAGTGGCGAACCTCGA